AAAATCTATGCTGTATAAGCTTTATCTCCTATAGCACTGATTGTTCAGATACCAGTTTTTGCCATATATCTCCTTTATGTAGGAAACTAAACCCAATAAATTGTGTTACCGGTTTACATACCGATCACATAGCAGTGAAAATCACTTAGATTGGTGCCATATAAAGTATATCTTCCAAACCTCTGATTGTTTAGATGCGATTTTTTATATAAGTATGTAACTCCTCTATCGATGTATGCAGATGTATTCAAAAGCAGTGATCTGTCAAAGTAAAATTTGCAGATGTTCATGAAAGGTATGAAGCCTTCGGCATAGCCGAAGACAACGCTGCTCTTACTTGTTCTAATATAACAAAGTGCTTGTTTCGAGTGGTTACAAAATATCGTTTGATTTTTGGCAACTTTTTTATTGACGGTTTTGTGCATTTTCTTCCATATAACAAAAATTTCGACTTTAAGCTTGAATAACTTTTTGAGGAGTGAATTAATCGAATTTACATTTCGTCGATGCCTTTGCAAACCCGCCTAAATCGCCGTTGTAGCAATAATGAGATTTGGTAAAGCTGAACTACAAGCATCGAGACATATGCATAAAAATAAAAAAATCGTTATTAAAACATCACGTTTGTAAAATTTTTAATAGCTAGAGAAAATGCCTTCAACGAAATCCGTTTTTCGCTCTCCTGTAAAATCTTAGTGCCGTAAGATAGGCGGTTTTGCAAAGGCATCTACGATATATTTCCGATGCGTTGACTTAAAACCGAAACATATTTTTTTTCTGTTTCTTATATGGATAATAGTCTGGGCTGCGGTTTTGATAGTACCAAAAATATTACACAGGGGATTTTGAAAAAAAGAGAGTCGATTTTTGGAACCACTCTATTGTAGACATGTACATATGTGTAACGATTTGCGATATTTTTTTTTTCAGTGGCAAAAACTCGGTTATTTTCTTTATGTATAAAATACTATGTACGCAGATTTACATACATAAATATGTAAGCGGAATAAATGAAGTTAGTTAAGTTTTATTGTTATTCGAAAAAATATGCTGGACTATTTAAATAAGCGCATAATTTATCAATTCAATAAATACAAATTTCAAACCAACCAATGTCAAGCCTATTATTGGCAATATGTGAATATACATATGTTTGCTCATTAGAGTGGTCCAGAAATGCATGTGAAAAAAGTCAAGTCGTATTTTAATGCTCTCAACCCATAGGATTGTTCTATATGGAATAAATATACCCCCGTTTTTTTTTATTCTGTGATAAAAAAATATTTAGAGGTATAGAATTATTGAAAATCAATATTTCTCGATCGGAAAATTTTGTTCCTTTTCTAGAGGCTTCCAATAATAATACAAAATTTTTTATTTTACCTTTTTCAAATACTGACGATTTTTTATGGGTATATTTTTTGGAGTTTTTGGGGGACCGTTAAAAAACAGTTAATAATATTAAAAAATGGTTAAATAAACAGTTCGGTATTATTACTGCAAGTCCCCTAAGGAGAAACAGATTTTTCCAATAGTAAAATAAAGATTTTCAAGAATTCTATAGCATTTCTACGAAAAATTTATTTTTCCGCGCACTGAGCGCTTTGAGCGACCGATAAAAAGTTTTTGATCTCAAAATAAAAAAAGTCGATAACTATTTTTTGATATATAGGATCAAAATTCCGACTTTGCTTGTTTTGGACCACCCTAATGTAGGTACATAGGTCTGTACGTCTGTATGTATGAACATAAATATGTATGTATGTAATTTGGAGACTTAATTTTATGAATGAACATACATATACAACTATGTATGCTTGTTGTGCAAACTTCTAATAAACGGTGTATGCTAATATGTGAACATGTACATTATGTGCATACATATGTACATACATATATGTATGTTCATAGAATCCTACAACTTCCACCCCACCAAACAAATAACTAACGATGGATTAAACAACAAAAGCGGTAGTAACCAAATTGCAACCATATGTCGGCCATACAATAAGCAAAGGCGTCACCGGACAGATGTTTACGCTAGGCAAACTGTTATACAAAAGAGACAGAAGAGAATACGAAGTGCAAAGAAATTAGAAAACAATTTATAATAAGAGAACTTTCGTCAACGCTAAGAGAACACAACTACATCCAAATTGTTCGAAAATTCGAAAATGCACTTTGGAATGTTTCACTTTTCTGCGAATGCAGCTGCTGCTGATTGCAATGCTGCGGTCTTTTTGTTGTTTTTGCGTTGTTCTTGCAGAAAACATGAGAAAGAGTAATAGTATTCTCGACATTAAAGCAACAATTTGCATGCTGGTAGAGTACTGGCAGTAGAGTGTGAAATGAAAGATAGAAGAATACCAAATACAGATGGGATAAGTAATAAAAAGAACCAAACTGGCAATGAAAGTGGTGTGCAGTAGAAGGAAGCCATGAAAAAACAAAAATTCTTGTTCTTTGAATTGATTGATATTGAGATTTGTGTGGACTCTTAAAAAAAATACATACTAACTATTTTAAATTTTTTTATTTTATTTATTAAACCAATGATAAAAAAATCAATAGTAGACATATGTAAGTATTTAAAGTTAATAATCATTTAGAAAATAGAAAAAAAAAACTAGGGTAACTAGACTAGCGCTATTTTGCAAATGAAAAACCTATTAAATTTAGAGACAGTATTGAACTCAATTAGGTTTCGAATGAAAGGAGCATTTCGAGCATAAAAAGCTTTGATAAGCAGTGTTGCCGTTTTAGCCCTTTGGTGGCTACATTTAGCTACCACATACTTTTTTTGGCCACATAAATCTAAAATTGCCCTAGCCCTTTTTTTAGCCCTTTTTATAATCTATTCATACTTGGCATGAAAAAGTTGTATATGCTTAAATTGTTTTTTTTTTGCATTTATGTAAGAGATGAATTTTAAACTAAGAAAGACTGATATATATACATATGTATCAATATGTATGGTATGTTCCTTACGTTTTTATACATATGTACATACTGTAAAAGTGTTAAGGCTGTTAACTTATCTATTAACGATTTAACTATAGTTTAANAATTTTTAAACTAAGAAAGACTGATATATATACATATGCATCTATATGTATGGTATGTTCCTTACGTTTTTATACATACATACTGTAAAAGTGTTAAGGCTGTTAACTTATCTATTAACGATTTAACTATAGTTTAAAATAGATAAGTTGACTGCCCTTACTGCCATACTGTAAAAGTGTTGGGGCTGTTAACTTTTCTGTTAACGATTTAACTATAGTTTAAAATAATTTTTTTTGTAAATTTGTTTAATGACCCATCAAGTCAAGTGACCGTGTATGTTCTTGTGGTGTGATTATAACAGCATGCTGGTGTCGTTAGTGGTGAAATTAACTCAATTTTCTAAGTAAAAAGTATTTTGGCGGAAATTTCTTGCACTATATGAGTCAAAGCTGTATTTGTGGAAGATTACGTTCACGATATTGCAGTTGTGAATTACAAAAAAAAACAATGTTAAACAAAATGCTAGAAAAATTATGAAATTTCGGCTCTAATCATTTCGATCTTTCCTCGATCTCATTTGTAAAGAAATAGATATTGTACCAGCATGCTGGTAAGTTATATGCTTCGAGCCTGATGGTACAATCACTTGATGGAACCAGCAAGCAGCTGGTACAAAAAGGTTTTTGGTTGGATAAAATATTAGCTTTTTTCCAAAGTTCATTGTTTTTATATACCATTACTTATTGAAAATGTTTACGTGTATACTTATATATGTATATGTAAGTAAAAAATTTTAGCTACCATTTTTAGCCACAACGACTTTTTTTTAGCTCTATTTTAGCCCTTTTTTTAAGGGAATTTGGCTACCACTAAAAATTATGCGCGGCAACACTGTTGATAAGGCCAACATAGATAACTCCGAATTTCGAGAAGCTCTAGCCGGAATAATAAAGAAACTCCTCTCAAAAGCACAGCACCACGGTTCAAATCGAAAATGAAAGAAAGATAAGATTATTCTTCTATTCTGCAATGATTTTAAGTTAATCAATAAGCATCGCTGGGGATAGGATCCGAGAAGCTTGAAATATTCGCACATATATATGTATATACAGTCACTCAAACAAGGGCTCTTATGTTGAGTTTTTAAATATTCTCAATGTTTCTAAAGCTAAAACTTTTTTGCTATCTATACATTAGGCCGATGTCTTTACATTATAAATATTAAAGAAAAATTAACATGGAGAGTCTTTATTAGAGCAATTGCAGCCAAATCAACAATTTTTAGAATTTTTGTCAGTCTGCATGTTTGTACGCGCATCACTCGAAAACTAATGCATAGAATTGAATGCAGTTTTCACGGATGCATTGCTAGAGGTCCAACTTAAAATATAGAAAGATAAACAAAATTAGAGAGTTGCCACCTGTTTCAAAATTGGAGTTTAACTAAATTAATAAGATAAAGTAAATATTTCAATATGGCTGCCAAAACAAAGAAGTTTAAGAAGGCTTTTAGCAGAAAGCAGAATTTTTTTTTGAAGGTTGCCACCTGTTCGGACATTTTAATTCAATTTAATTGATAAGACAAATTGAATATTGCAATATGGGTATCAAAGTGAAGAGGTTTAGGAAAGTTTACTGACGAAGCGTTGCCACCTGTTTGAAAAATATAATATATATATATATGATAAAATAAATAAAATATTATAACCTAGGTATTAAACAGTAGAAAAACATTTTTAACTTTACTTTACTTTGACCAAAACCATAAAAAACGAAGTTTAAAATTTTATAAAAAACTAAAAAATTGTTATCAAAACTTCGAATATCGTACTATGAATCTTTAGAACATTATATATATAGAATATTACCCATACACTTTTTGTTCAATGAAGTGTAGGTTTCAATCTTAAAAATAATTTTTTCTGACGGCTTTTCCTTTGTTTTTACATAGCAAGTGCAATTTATAAAAACTGACGTTAATTTTTTTAAATCTTTGTGCCGCTTCCGCATTTTTTCATAAGAATTTCATGTGTGTATGGAAAAAGTGCAAAAAGCCGTCAGCAAAAAAATTATTACAAATCAACGGAATTTTTTACCTCCTTGAAGCTTATACTCTGTTGAAGTAAAATTGTATGGGCTATTAAACTGCATACCCAAAAAGTTCTAAGCGAAACCCTATGAAACAATGTTTCGAATGTAAAATTCAACAAATTTCAATCAAAATTACAATTTCTTACTTTTAGTCATACTGCTTTTGAAATTTCCAAACTATCCCACTACCATTAAAACATACTGATCGACAATAACTGCACCAAAATGAGGTTAGATATCAATTCTAACTAATTACATGAATTAATAGTAACGGGATCGATTGGAAAAAAGTAGTAGTCGGAATGAAGGAACGTATTTAATTTTCAGCTTTGATCTATGAGGATTTATGTCGATCCAAGACTAGCACATTTGTGATGCTGTAGTTACAAATCACATTTATTGAAGCGTACTTGAAGACCTAGAACTTTGCCATAATCGATCGCAAGGTCGATGTTCAACCCGACGAAGCGCGATGACAGAGTGGAATTCTCATTTTCGGATCACGCCTTGTCGTACCCGATGCGATGCGCGAGCTAATTTAGCCGTTATATCACATTGCACCTTTCGGTGGACAGATCAAAGCGTCGAGTGACCAGAAGGTTTCCATAACTTCCAAAATTGGACCCCACGGAGTCGTGGCCTGCTCTTCCTCTGCTACCACCAGCGGTATTCGAGTTGAATACATTCAGAGCTGGAGCATGTGTATTCATTCGAACGATATGACCAAGTATATACAGCTCATCGTCTCATGGTCTGCGGTACTCGCCGTCACTAGCGGCTAAAAGCCCGTAAATATTTCGGGAAATGGTTCTTGTAGCAGTTCAAACCTTTACATGGTCCCCCCCAACCCAATTCAACCAACACACTTCGTTCTTTAGTGCGGTCCCGAAGTGAAACAGCACGTTTACTGGACCTACAGGTAGTTGAGCCTGACGACAACGACTGCAAATGTATGCGATTATAGGCAGAGTTATGTAAGCCGCTACAGTAATAGCAAGAGCACAAAGTAAAAATTGACGAGATTTTGTCGATTACAAAATTTTTGTAATGCAGAATAGCTCTGTAAATGTCAAAGGTGAAAAAAAGCGATCAAAAAGGCGCCATGTAGACATCACGAAACAACGACGAACTTGAAATTGGTGCTCAGATGTATTCCAACTGTAACATACATGTGTACATATGTATTTAGATTAGTAATGTTAATCCCGGGATCCCGGGATGTCGGCCTTTTTTGCAGTTTGCACTGATGGCAATAATAGAAACTCCCTTTCTTGACCAGTATGGACTATATTTCCTTTTTTTTTATTTAATAAGCAATATTATTTTTTAAAATGTCTGGCTCATTATACATATAACACCGCGCGATAGTAAATTTTAAACACAAATATCAATATATTCGCGAAACCATGGGGTAAATATAGTAAAATTGCGTTTTTAATTTTTCACTTTGACGTCAGTAATTCAAAAAAGATTTAAAAAATTCAGAGATATGTGCTGATAGAAGAAGTATGGGTACCAAATTAAAGAGGAAATCTTGTAGAATTTAAAAGGATTCAAGTGCGGAAGGATTGGTTAGTACTGAAAATGTACTTTTAAAATTTGATCCTTGAAATTTCGCATTATTATATGTTAAGGACTTACATAAACTCGATAACATCCTCGAATTTCGTCCTTCTAACTTTATGAGCTTAAAAAATTACCTATTCGTCCCTGTGAATCCAAAAAATATATTTTTTGTTATTCTAAAGAAATGTCCTCTTGCATTTGGTACCCATATTTTTATTTTACATTGCATTGAATTTTTTAAGTAATTTTGGGAATCATTCATGTCTTTGAAATTCCAAAGTCCTTTAAAATAAAGAAAGAAGAAGATAAAGAATAAAAACGCCATTTAAACCCATTTAAATAGTTATTATTTATTTAATAGTAGGAGAGCTTCTCAAACAATATAGACGCAATTTTTCCGATTTAAAATGTTGAAAAGTAATGATTATCTAAATGTCGGGACTAATTCCGGGACCCCGGGATTGTTATAACGACATCCCGAAAATCCCGTAAAAGACCTGAAAAATTAACATCCCTAATGTAGATACAAACATAACTACCCACATATTCATATATATACGTAGTATGGAATTACCTGCAGGCTGCAGGAATCCTTTAAGGTTGCCTCATTGTTGATTTTATTGAAGCTGTTGATGCTGTTACGCAGAGTTTCTGATAATAACAAGGAATGCAACAACAACAATAACAAATGCATTATGCAGCAGCTGATAGATGAGTAAAAATGTGTGTAAAGTGTAATAAAAGACGAAAACCAAAATGAGAAAAAAAAATGTAAAACTCATCAAAATGAACAAGCAGAGCATCAAAACTGAGCTCTCATCAGCACCAAACGCGCTGGATGGACACCACCATCCCCAACCACACACAACCGCAACCAGCCGTAATAACTCAGCTCATTGGCAGACGGCCAGATACGCGACGCTCTTGTCTAAATCGTTTCGTCGGCTTCAGAACCGGAAATTATTGCATCTGCTGTTATGTGGCTGCCACATTTGTGCCACTTCTGCTGTTTGCTCTGCTTCTTACCAAGCAAGCAAGCACTCTTGCAGCACCATCAATGGGCGCAATTGCTGCTGAACTATAATAATTATTTTGTATTATTTTTAACTTTATGTTGTTTATTTTTTATGTATATATTTTCATACATATGTAAATGTGTGTCTATACATGAATGTTTTTTGTAAATATTTTTTGTTTGTTCTTCGGTCAGTTTTTCATTTCTTGCTTTCCTCATTTGTTTCACGTGTATGTATTTTCTGATTTTATTTTGATAAGTTTTTCGCCGAATTTCTCATTTACTCTATTCATTCATATAAACAACAAGAAACGTGCAAGCATATGTATGCAACTTGAGTGCCGTTGCACTTGAAATGCTATGCAACATCATCGCATTGCACCCGCATTTGGTTCGTAATTGTTATTGTTTATTGAATGTTCGTAGAAATGCGTCAACATACATACATATGTAGTATCTACGTATTTATGGATGTTTGTACGTCTGTGCCGTTTAACGGAAGAGGCGGATGCGTTCTGCTCTGCAAGCGAGGGTTGCAACTTGCCACATTCGCGCTGCAACTCTGCAATGTGTCCTTTTCAAGTGCATGCGTTGCATTTTCGTGTGCTCATACATATGTATGTATGTAAGTTTGTATGTATGTATGAACCATAAATTTTAATCAAGAGAGATTAGGTTACTGCTGCATTAAAGCAGGATTACGATTTGCTGTTTGCTTGCTGATTGTGCGTATTTCTGAGAATTTCGGACAACAACATTCATTTTCTTCAGAATTTCTGTGTTGTGGCTTCTTCATACATTTGAAGAGTTCCAGCAAATCGGTTGTTTTCAAAGAATCCTTGTCTACTTTTGGACATAAGTCAATTAAATAAAATTTCATTAGTAGACTGCGGATGTTTACGCAGAAAATGAAGCCAAAAATATTTACCAATTTTACTATAGGGGTATTCCATGAGTAAGTGAAACTTTGTGTCCAATTGTAGAGTAGCTTATTGAACATGGAATGCTTGATGAATCAATGCTCAATACCTGAAATTAACGTTTTTTCGAAAAAAAATTTAGTTATATTATTTTATTACACTGTAAATACACTCAAAACTTCAACATTAGAAAAGTAGTTGAATACGACAACATATTTTAATATAGAAGGCTCTGCAAAATCAAGTATTCACAAAGTTATTATTTTTTTGAAGGGGGGAATAAATGTCTCGATCTTTCTGCGCCCCGAAGAAGCAATATGGCATTGAAGAAAAATAGGCATTTAAATTATATAATAGGATAAAATCACTACGGTTTAGCATGTCCAACCCGTGACTAAAAAGTTTTAAACTTCGTATTGCTTAGTTACTACTTTAGGGAGTTTTCTATAATTTCATAACTAGAGTGTGTTTATACTAAGCAGCCCTATTTCATTTCTTTTATTATATTATAAGTACCTACTTAAGAGATTTTGAAACGTTTTATCGTGTCCCGCCCGTGACAATCATTTATAATTTTTTTCTAATGATGCCTAACAATAAAAAAATAAGTTTAACGTTTCAAACCTATGTTTAATGCCACAAAACTCTGAAGTACAGGTTGACTAAACACCATAATACTGTTGGTGGGCTAAGCGATGTAGTAAAAAATTTCGCGTGGCCAGCTCGAAAAGTCAAGATAAGCATTACTATCTTAGAGACGCCAGAGAATTCTATGATGAGGGTTGCTTAACAACAATTAAAAGTCAATATTAACAATTACCTGAAAAGTTCCAACCAAGAAAATCTAGAAGTTCGCGAAACTTATAAATTCAATCCAATAAATAGCCTTTAAGTGACAAAGATATACATATGTATCTGCTTACAAGTATTCTAATGCAGATAACTTTTCGGATTAGACATCGATACACAAGATCTTTTCTGACGTTCTATGGTTTTAAGGAATAGCTAAATTTGAGCATGATTTGTCCATGAAATCAGTTTCCAAAAATAACTCAACTCGAGCCACTCTTAAGCCGGTTACTCAATGTCTGGTCAACACTAACAGCAGGTTAGACATCTCTATCGACGTGATAACAGTAGTCGATATACATGTTTAGCCTGTAGTTAGTATTAGTCAGACATACATAGCTATTCTAAACAAACTTGAAAATCATTAAGGCACATTCGAAATTTCGTTGCAATCAAATGCACCGTGCAGAAGTGCATTAGGAAAATGCATATAAAATTTCATGCGTTTGCAAATAATCCTTTCTTCCATGCATTTTAATACATCAATCTGGCGACTTCTAGCTTTCGTTTGGTATAACTATTGCCCCTAAAATAGATCCTGGGGTCAGCAGTATATCGTGCGTCTTACAATGACTCCACTGTCATAAAAGTAGGTCAATTGATCTTGTATTTGACCTCTAACATTTATCATACCTAATCTCTTTGATATGGATCTCACTAGAAGCTTCCTTTCATGAAGAAAATCGTACGTGTCCCACCCGTGACAAAAGTTGTCCCACCCGTGACAGGAGAATTTTGAATTTTTTAATAATAAACAAATAATTCTTATTATGGTTTGTGCTTTGTTGGGATTGCTGGTTCTTTTCTGTATAGTAAAACATCTAATCCAGATAGAAATGTTAAGTAAATTCACAGACTTTCCTTAAAATATATGTTCTCCAAAAAGCAGTGTCTTTTCTTTGTCCTACCCGTGACGGAAGAAACAGCTCAGAATTTTCCAATATAAAATCAAGTTGGAATATTTTTCGTATTTGGTAATAACTCGTATATTAGTGAACTAGGTGTAGCTTTATCAAAATGTAGAATTGCTTAGTACTTTATACTTAAATTAAAAAAGAAAAACTATTTTTGCTGTACAAATGTCCCACCCGTGACGATGGAATACCCCTATAAGCAAAATGTATAAATTTGTATAAATGGTTTACAGTTATGTGGTACATATTTTTAGGCTTCTTCTTCTACATAAACATCCACATAAGGTTAAGATAAAGATAAAGATAAAGATCGAGATCGAGATTGAGATTGAGATTGAGATTGAGATTGAGCTTGAGATTTAGATTGAGATTAATATTGATACTAAAGTTAAGATGATGATAACTGTTCATGATTATGAGAAAAAAATGAGACAAAAGCAAACAAGGCCATAGCGATGATAACTAGATTGATGGAACATGTCGGCCTTTATAACCCAAGGAGTCAAGAGGAAGAAAACGTGAACAGGTTTTTTGTAAAAAAATAGATGCGGTCGGATGAGAACAAAATTCTATTATAGAACTAAGTAAATATGAACACTCAGAAGTTTTTCTTTTTAAAGCAAGCAAAACTCCTTATAGCATAAGAACCGGAAATGTCATTAAACAAAAATATTTATGTATTTGATGTTGTTGTTCTTTCTGCTTAATTTTAATACTTACACATGTGCATACATGTGTTTTGCATATTTTCTGCAAATGATATTAAACGCCGGCCGGTGTTTTTCGTGCCGACATTGTTGCCTTTGGTGCATGAATGATTTGACGCCAGTGCTCACTCAAATGCCATCTACATAAACTCTATGCAAATGTGATGTACAAGTAAATACAATCACACAAAAAAGTGAACATGAAACTAAAAGCTTTAAGAGTATGTAAGTAATTAAATAACAATTCGCAATGATTTTATTTCACAAAGGCATTTTTAAAATCTCATCGGTCTTTGTAAAATCCTAACGAGTTTTTGAATGTTTGAGCTTTCTCTGGACGTTTCTACCACTGTTTATATGTGCCACTAGTGCAGCTCCAAAATAGAAATTGTTCTTGCATATTTTAAGAATACTTTTTGTAAACTTAACTTTAGAATATTGCGAGCATGCGAAAAACGTGATCACTTTTTTGAGTAACTATGTACCATTCAGAAGCTTGGTTTTCGAATGTGCAAATGCAAATCGCCGGCATTGGTTGATTTCGGAGCGTACAGTATGTACATACATACATATGAATGTATGTGGGTACATCTTGCATGCAAATACGACTTCCGGTCGCGCGGAAGTCATAAAAGACAATCCAAAAAGTCTGCATAAATACATATATGACAATATAAAAAAAGAGAGCCGAATGCTTACCCTGTAAGAAATTTTAAGGCATAGAGAGTAGAAAAGTTTTTTTTAACAGCGCACAGTGGTCCAAAACTGGCATTTACTGTCTATAATTCATTGGAGCCTTCATTTTTCACTAAATTTTTTAAATTGTTGGCACTCTATTATATCTACCAAAAATTTTATGATCTACGAGACTACACACAAAACAGTTTTCTAAAAACAAAAAAAAACAAAATTTTTAATTTTTATTATTTTTTTTTAAATTTCAATTTTTTTTTTCGTTTCGGAAAACACTGCAATTGTTTTCAAGTAGTTTTAATTATGTAACATTTATCAACTGGAACCGGATAATCGATTTTCTTCAAAATTTATACTATAAAATTTAATGTAAGCAAACAAACAGTGGGATCAACTCATCTCTTGCTAATGTTACAAGTTGGCGCAAAATTAATCATCCAATTTTGTTTTTGAACAACTTTTTTATTCAATTAAAAAAATAATAATTTTTAGTGAGAGAAATCTTTACTTGGAGCTTAACAACTTCTTCTGCTAAGTGGAAAAGTGGGAAACATTTCTTCCCGTTTTATCGCATTTTCCATGACTTCCCGCAAGATTTCCGGACCTGTTCGCTTTCCTGTCGAATATTCTCCTTAAGGTCAAGTAGCCCCAAAGAAAGAAGTGATGAAGAAGAAGGGTCATTACTTTTGCGCTATCTTGTATAAGCTTTCATTAAAAAAAATCAAATTGAACAGTGTGAACAGTAAATTTCAGTTTAGAACCACTGTGCAGCGATCGCTCCTCGTCAGTTAATGGCATCCGTTTGCGGTTCGGAGGCGGCATAAAACTGTAAACGCGTCCAAACACTTAACAGAAGTGTTAGCGTCAAAATATGTAATATTATATCATTATTTAGAGATGCCTGAGTACTTAAGTAAAAAACCAAGCTATTCTGTAGTTTCTAAATTCTTAAGTTAAACACATACATATAGGGTATTTGGGAGTTGCTAAGTACTAAAATAAATAGAACTTAAGAATTTAGAAAATGTAGATTTTTAAATATTAAACGGTTCAGGAGAAGAAAGAATAATCGGTGAATTTATTATTTTATTTTAGGTATTTACATACAATATAATGAAATGCTGCATGCTCTCAGCGGAATTTTATGAAACTTATAGATTTCTCCGGATTGTTCTTGTTTTATCACAAAATAATATTATCAAACAAATTTTACTCAAATCAATAAATTAAATGCATTTCAACTCATTCGAACGAGGAGCGATTTTCCGACAGACAAATTGCGAATAACAGCGACCACCGTGCGGTCCAGAAGCCATTTTGCGACTGATGTAGCAGACTACCGATAGACATCTTTGCATTGTTGAAATGCAACGAAATGCTAAAAAAATATTTCTCAAATGTACATATCTCCATCTCTTCTTAAGTTGATAAACAATATTTGAGAAAAATTTTAGAAAATGGTTAGTTTCAAATGATAAACAATGCTGAAAATTAAATTGATAAATATATTTTCTCATGCGTTTGTAAATTTTGGCCCCAGTCTTTGTTCGGATATGTTTTTGTAGATATGAATGTATATTTGTAAATGTGTGTAGACTTCTGATGCTCATGCGAAAAAGATTTTCGCGGCACACGTGTACACACACTGTACATACCCTTAAATACCGTCCGTCGTCCATTAAATTCGCATCTGTATCCGTCTACGTGCGTGTCTAAATTTGTTATTTACTTACTTTTGGGGCAGCAGATTACTACGAGGCTTATGCGGTGAGCAAGCTGCGTTGGCGTCATAAATACACACACACACATATTTATGTACATGTGGCGTTAAATACAGTGAACTTCCAAATTGTGTGGCGTGTTCTTCTCTGATCATTCGTTATTTTGTCGATATCTGTTATATGTAATTTTTGTACGTATATGTATAGTCCTTATATCTCGTACGCATGCCTGCACTGTCGCATCAGTAAACAACTGAATACTTATTTGTGAAGCGCACTGTACGTGCGAAAGCAAATATTGCAAAAAAAAGCAATTTTTCACACATTTCCTCACATGGTGTGCCCTTCAAAGCACTAAAATTTTTATTGGGTTATATACTGTGTTGCAGTATTAAGTTAAGGAGTTAGTATTTCAAAGCATAAAACAGGAAATTTTTCTTAAATATAATTATTTACACTTAGCATTCGGAAAACTTCCAGTTAAAAACCTTTGTCCTGGTAACGCTAGCAACAAGTGTTTAAATCTGCGTGCCAAAATATTCGATAAAATCTTCAATGTATACATATGTTTGTGTGTATGTACTAGGGATGTTAATTTTTCGGCTTTTTCCGATCCCGGGATTTTGGGGATGTCGTTGTCACAATCCCGAGCTTTAGATATTCAAAAATTGCTTCTATTTTTATTGTTTGAGAAGCTCTCCTACCATGAAATAAATAATAAATAAATGGATTTGAAACCTACTTTTTTATTTAAAGTGGCGTTTTTATTTTTTATCTCTGATCGCATGATTTATTTTTAAGGACTTTGTAATTTCAAAGATATAATTAATTTCACAAATTACTAAAAAATTCGAACAAGTCCGGCGTTCAAAGCCATTGGCCTTACCCAATGGGCTAAGTTCACCACGTTGTTGCTTGTTTCGCTTTTTCAATTTGTTAACCCAAATGCAATCAATTTTTTCTTTTTCTTTTTTAGTTTAATTTTATTTTATATTATTTTAAAAAGAAAACTATTTTTTTTAATTTAATTTAATTTTTGGGTACGCATTTTTTATGTTTATATATTTTTTGTTAAATTTAATTTTCTTATAATAAAAATTTTTATTGTCTTAAACCGAAAATTTTTTTTAATTACATCTAATTTTTAGAAACTTATTTCTCAAACGTTTGCTTTTTTATAAATTTTTTCTTTTTATATCCTCGCGCACTTGTTTTATTTTAATTTTCTTTTAACTTTTGATTTTCATTGTTAAAAAAAAATTAATTTCATTTAATTTTAAGAAAATGTATTGCCAAATGACTGCCACAACTGTCAATTGTCTTTGGTAAGTTGTGGTAAGTTGAAGAATTGGCCTGTTAATCGAGAAGTAATATATCAGAGCATAAGTCGCTCAGTTCATAGCAGTCGTTCGCTTGGCGAATAATAATTGAAATTATAAGGACCCAAGCCCAAGCAATATTCTACATTCTAAATATGTATGTATGTTGATATGTAAAATGATCATAGTAAATAATATATGGAAATACAAATTTAGTTAATATATCAACCGCATTAATAAGTATGTACATAAATATCTATTCACTTACAGCTTCGTAATTGTCATATTTTACTATTCTTTGCGCATGAAACTCTAGAGAGCGATTTTGTTCAATAACTCACCTGAAAGAAGGGAAGGAAAGGAAAATATCTAATGAAATAAATTTATGAGCATAAAAAATTATGAAAAATATTTTTTAACAATGTAAATATTTATGTTAGCATATATTTTGTTATTTCTTACAGACTTGAGTATCTAATCTCCACGTGAAGCATTTTGTCAAAAGAGAAATTAGTGGTAATTATAACCTAAGTAAAAATGTTGAACGGAGTAAATAATTGTAAAATTCAACAACAAAAAAATTACACGCAAGAAGAACAGAGCCCTCCAATAAGACAAATGAACAGAAGTAAAGACCGACAGTGTTCATTCATGCAGCACGCAGCACGAAAGA